GTAGTATGTATGCATACTNTTGGTTGAAATATTTTTTTTTTTTTATAGTAGTATGTATGCATACTTTTTTTTTTTTTGGGTGCAGATGTTAGGATCACCATATTTGTTGCTAACATCCTTGCAAATGATTTCCCTCTACTTCAATATGCTTAGTTTGGAGTGTCTTGAAGCTGACTTGAGTGAAGATGTGGATACGTAAATACATATTTCTTGTGGTTTTCATGTGAAATCTTAAAGGATTTGTGCCATTTTTACTCATGCAAGAGATGTGGGCACTCTTATAGAGATTTCTTGTTTTCTTCCGTGTCAAAACTTATATATGCTATTAGTATATTGCCTGTGAAATTTGGGGCGAGAACTATAAAATCTCTACAATGGTTGGCTTGGTTTTGTTGTGTATTTGTAATTAAAATCGTTTCTTTGGCAAGTAAATCATTTTGTAGATGTGATTAACATAAAAACTTGATGTGTTTTCCTTCTTGAATCATAACTATTTATTTTCTTAGTGGGTTGAGAAATCTTGGTTACACATAAATTTCTTAGCATCGTGAGTTTGTGAAGCTGTGTAAATATAATCATGACCAAAAATTGTTAGCATGAGTCATAGTGTTTATTGAGGACTGTCGAATGCTTCTAAAACTAGGCCACTTGATCTATTTCTCCATTTTATAAAGTAATAAATTATAAAGTAGGCCATTTTTTAAAACAGATTAAAGTAGCATTGAATATATAGAAAAATATATCTAGATAAGGAAAATCTATTTATATTGTCAGTATCTTGATTCTTTTTATTTTTTATTTTTGTTATAACAAGACCGTAAATTACATATATAACTTTAATAAACAACATTTCATAGAGATAGTTCTAAAATAATGTACTCACATCATATTAGCTAAAAGCTTTACTTTATTACATTTCAAAGGTTATGTTAAACGGAAATTAGAAGTTGAATTGTAATTGTATATCTTGATTTATAAATATATATTTGATAACATAGTTGTTACATAATTTTAGCAAAGCTAAAAATATAATAATAAAATTATAATTTAAAATGCCCCATGTGCAACAACTAGCGTGCAGCATATATATATAGTAGCGCGATCTTCACCAAAGAAAAAATGTCTATAACATATTAACTATGCTTTCTATAAGGAAAGTCTATTTAACCTTTTTAAAATTAAGTCTTTTAAAGTTAATAAATAAATATTTTGACTCTTAAATCTTTTATTCTAATAAACCCAATTTATATTTAAAGACTGGCAATGTTTGATTGAAACTAGATTTGCTTATCAAAATATATTGTCAGCATTCTTTTACTGTGAAAACTGAAAATGTGATTGATCTATTCATGCTCTAGTTCAAAATAAAAAAAGCTTTGTTCCTATTACAGATTGAACCCAATAAATTATGTAAAAAACATGTGGTGGAACTCTCTTGTTGTACAATATGTGTTCTTGAATAATAATCAAGTTGAATTTTGGCATGTAATTACTAAAGGGATAACCAACTTAGTGATATGTTCCTTCTTGACCTATTAAATAATAATAAAAAAAAAGACAATATTACTGAACTTAATATCTCTTGTTCAGGGAAATCAATAAACTTATAAAGTGTATGTTCCGAAACTGTTAGAATTTTATACCTAACGATGGTTTTATGCTAGAATAGTATAGCTTTTTTTTGATTTGGTAAACATTTACTTCCAGGATTGGCAAAAATTAGAGCAGTCCTACATCCAACAGATGGATTTAGAATGTTGGGTACTTGATTCAACCTAGTCTTTTTAAATCGAACAACTATTTAGAGCAGTTAGATGGTATTTTAGAGCAGTTAGATGGAAGCACTTTTGCTAACATCGAGCAGTTACTAATCAACGGACATACAGGTTACCATGATAGTATAACTTGTTTATTTCTCTATCCAAATCACATACGGGATGCAGTTTCCTTCAAGAAGCAAACCAAAGGGTGGGTACTCGATTTCTACAGCTTGCTTCCTTAACATAACCGTATGAAATCTCTTTACTCAAAGATGTACTAGAGATATATAGGCAAACTAGTTATTGATTGTGCCTGAATGCACAAAATAATAAAAAATAGTAAACAATAAATATATTTGTATTCATATCCAAAATCAAACCACAAACATAGAGAAGAGATAAAAGAATTTAAGCATCGGTTTATAGTGGGGGTGGGAGGTGGTGGGCAGCAGTGGTGATGGTAAGAGATGGTAATGGTTGTGGTGGGTGGCAATGACTGTGGTAGCGGTGTCGACGGCGGCAACAATGGTGGCGGTGGTGGTAGAGGGTGTCGTGGAGCGATTTCAAACACTATTTTTTTTTAAAAGTATTTATGAGAAATAATTTTTAGAAATACTTTTAAAAAGTCATTCCAAACACACTCTTAAGGACTTATTTTTTCAATTAAATTTAAGGTATTACTACTAGCCGTTAGATTAATTTTAAAGTAAAATTTAAAGAGATCTCAACTGCGAATAGCAAAAGTCGTTTTATTTATTTTTTGAAATTTGAATTGTAAGTTACTTTATTATAGGGAAATGTTACTATTATTTGGATACTATAATCGTGTTTTCGTACTGAATGAATGAAATTTCTACACCACGAAGATTGATCTTCCCTCCCAAATAATTCCTTCTTTCAAGATCAAATCGAGAGGTTTTTATTCCAACATAACTCCCATTGCTCTACTTCTTCTTCCCTCTTCAACCTCAGTCCTTTTATTCCCGATTGAAGAGGAGCTTCAATTCCTTCTACTCTCGCCGTTGATCAGAAGAATTCACACCTACCATTAAGGGAGTTTCATTAGACACTTTCATCCTTGCTCAAATTTTGGGTAAGGAGATGAAGGAACAAGATTAACCAAAGATGGATCCTCCATAAAAGGGTATGGTAGAAAAAAACGTCAAGAAAGATTACTACAAATGAAGGATTCACGTGCAAAAGTGTATACATCTACCTCTTTTTCACAAATATTGTGTACTTTCCCACCCAATTTGTGGAGTAAAGGGCAAGCAAAAATGTATGAAGAGAAGCCTCATTTTTATTTGGTGCTTGTGCCTCATTCCTCTTTGTTATGAGGGAATCCATTTACCTCGTTCTTTATTGAACGTTTTTCCTTATCAAAAGGCATATAATATTTCTTACCATTCGAAACGTGAAAGATAATTAGTTACCTTGTCGATTATCTCTCTTGAGAATTCACATAAAGAGTCTTGAGCAACATTATACATCTACTTTTCTTTTTTTTTTGTTTTCCGAATGTAAGTTTAAAAATGAATGCAATTTTAACCGGAGCTTAACCCATCCATTCATCAAAATCATCAACAAAGTTAGCATTTTGGGTTAGTTCATGCGCTACCTTATTTCCTATAACAAATGAAAAATCTAGTTTCTGAAACTTCTTTAACAAATCTAGAATATCAAATACAATGTCACCTAAGGGAGGGAAACCATTTCTTTGTGCACAAATTTTCAAATTTTTTTGATGAAGACATACGCAGAATCAACACACAAGAAATCCAACTTACACGATTAACTGTAACTGAATAGAGTTAAAGAGTACTTTCAGAAACTCATTAAACCACAACACACAGACAATTGTTGACTGGATTAGAGTTCAAATTATTTCTTTTATAGAGAAATCAGAAATAAATTCTCCTGCTTTGTCTCGGGCGAAAACCCTTTTTGTTTTTGTTTTTTGTGAAAAGCGGGCAACAACTCCAAAACCCACTGTCTGAGTGTTGTTGAAAGAACTTGATTTTCACAATTCATGGTGAAGGAACATTCACGTTTCACAGCTTCTACGGCTTGTAGGGCCAACTGAGAGGTTGGTAGAAATGAGTGTTAAGTCTTTTTGTACTTCTTTTGCTTTTGCTTCTAAATTCACGAGCAAAGAACAACTCTATTCATTGTTGTTTTAGAATAGCACTGTGGTATTGAAGTCGTATCATATTAAAATCATTATAATTCAGATTTTGTTTTGATTTGTTTAAACTGGAAAAAATAAATAAGTAAAATAAAATAATAAGATATAAAAATTTTACACATGTTATTTACTTTGATAAAAGAATATCACACGCGTTCAAGTGTCGAGGGATCTCAAAATAATTTTTGAAATGTAAGGGATGTCTATGTAATAAAATCAAACGTAACGCGGTGTGAGCTTAATTTACCTTTTCTTTTTTCTTTTGAGTGGGTGGTGGCAAGAACATGCTACTAAGTGAAAGAGTAATTTTATTTGGATCTAAACATTTAACCTAATTTGTTAACATAATGATGTGGTTTTAATAAAACTATTGAATTAATACCAAATTTCAATGTTTGTTGGAGCCCACAATCAATCCAAATGTAATAAATTAGATCAACAAATTAAGTCAGTAAATTAGATCCCAATAGTATTACTCCTAAATGAAAATAAACAAAAACCAAGATGAAAGATAAGAATTTGACTACACGACTAAAAATTTTTTGTACCATACCTTCAAAATTTACTACTGTTTTTACAACTTTTGTATCATTAATCAAAAAATTTACCACTTATGTGGTTAATTTACTCCTTTTGTAGGTATTTTTACTACTGTTGTGAGTATATTTTTACTAAATTTGTAATAACTATTTTTACGATTTTTTTGATTAGCACAACAGTAGTAAAAACACGCACAAATATAGTAAAAATAACCACAAATGTGGTAAATGGAAGTATGATACCAGTTTTTTTTTCCTATACTGCAGTCAACTCCGGAAGATAAATATACTTCCATCAATGTGTATCATAACATAAATCGGTGACAATGTACATAATAATTTTAATTAATAAATAAAAAATTCAACATGAAATTATACTATTATAATACAGACCAATCAGATCCTACGAAAATTATATCCCCCAGTTTATTTTCATTTGCATTATAAAATGCAAAATGAAACTTTTAAAGCTGAAACGATAAATGAAGAATACATATTTATCTTTCGTTAATAGTTTTTAAATGTTATACATTCCACAGCAATTACTGCTAAACCAAAGACAAGATCACTCGCCCGCAGCTAAATCGTATTCCTGTGAGAAAGCTGAAATGCTAGCAGCAAAACAGAGCATTGAGAAATCAGAGCAGGAAACATTAACCTCACTAGCATGTAATATGGTATGTTTCCAGTATACTAACAGACTAAAGAGTAAGGTAACAAGATTTTGAGAAAATTTGCCAATACTAGCGTAATATGTCATTCCTTTTATCTTGAGAGGGTTGTATAACAAAACCACTACCCAATCCTCCTACAAGTTGTAGTGAAAAGATGATGCCATCTTGCCAATATCTGCAAGTGACGCAGACACCAACCATCCTTTTTTGTAACTTGCAGAATAGTTTGCATGCATTTTGGAATGGAGAAAATTGAACCCACTTACATGTGTGGATGAAAAACGAATAGATGGAGTGAACAAGGTGCATCCAGAATAAGTTATGCTTTAAAGTACTAGAGCTTCAGGAGATTTACTAGTAGCCACATCTGCAGCGATACGATAGACATTTTAATGCTTGTGGCCTCTTTCAGAAGCTAAAAGCCCCATTTGTTCAGTTAAAATTTCCACATTTTGAGGGCAATCAGGCCGGCCTTCAAGCGCTATTGTATCCATCTTCATACTCTGAGATTTCTCCAATCCTTCCTTCATAATTTTTTGCGTATTAGAATTCTCCAGCTGGGTTCCACACCATGTTGACTCCAGATCCATTCCAGAGTAGGCGCGGTCCTCAGGATCAAGCTCAGCATCTTCATCATGCTCTGAAGATGGACTAGATAGAAGCAGCTGTTCCAACATACTATAGTCATCAGGTAGATCCGGAAGAATGAGTGGGCCATGATTTTCCGAAGAAATTTTTTTTTCATCCAAAGGCTCTGACATGAAATCAATGTTCATAAAGAGATCTTTCACTTCATCAGAAGAAAGATTCAACACCAGAGATTCTTCAGGATTTGCAGTCGGTGTGGGTAGAGGCTCGGAAGATTCGTCCATCGGTTGATACCTTACGATCATCCCCTCAGAATGTAGTGGTTCATGATGATCTGCAACTTGCTTCAGTACATTCTTACCAGGTTCAGGCATACACCAGTTATTTTCTTTTGGCTGCAACAACTTAACAAAAAACCCAGGGCTTTGCATGGCCATCACTATGAATGAGAGCATCTGCTGCTGATTTTTCTCCATACCTTGCAGTTGTTCTCTCAGGAGCAATAACTTACTCCGTGAGGTCTGCTGATGCTGCCTCAGTTTAACTAGCTCCTGCGTGAGCGCGTTCCTATCAGTCTTAAGACTTTCAACTTCCTTCCACAGTCCAACAGTTTTATTTTCTTCACTTGTTCCAACATCTTTGTCTTTTTGCTGGGAAGAATTTCGCTGAACCACGCCCTGAGACTGTTTTCTTCTGCTGATATTCTTCAACAATTGCTTCTGGCCCTTGATAAATCCATCATTTGAAAATTCCCAGCGATCTGTATCAATTTTTTTGAAACCCTGATACGATGTAGACTTTTAGATGACAAATATACGGGATCATATAGTTCCATATTTTAAGATATTTTCAAGATGATAATTAGAACATCAGGAAAAGCAATATAGCATTTGTTCCAAGTCTGTTTATCTATTCTATACTGTCTAGCTTTTTCTCATCTTATCCAAGTTAAGTCAAAAAATCATTCTCAGCCGGCTTAGTTCAAAGGCACTTCCGCAAAATTACTGGAAACCCTTAACCTTTGGCCCAATCTACTTCATTAAATTACTGCTGCTACATTTCTATTTTTCCTTGTTACTTGAGAAAACATGATTTTGAAGGCCAAGATATATAAAATTTTTGACACAAATATGTTCATCGATGTTTTCATAAATGTTGAAGTAGGTCTACACTTGTCAAAGAATCTCACATGCATGAGGAAGCAAAGGAAAAATCGCTGCAGCAAATCCATCACAACAAAGAGGACCACATTTGTCACTACCAGTTGTTTGATAAAAGGCCCCAAAGGATGAATTGACCTGGCGATAAGCTCCGGGTCATAAAGCAATTATTGCAGCTGTTGAAAATTTTGGAAAATTTTATTTTAAGATCACCATTGCAAATGACTCAAATGTTGTTTCTAATTATATTTGGAATGCTTTGGTATGTATTAAAGTCTACATAATCACTTTGGGCTAAAGTAAGTTCGATCTTAGCTAGAAGTAAAAGAGCTTGAGCTGCAGACATGGACCTCTTCATACAAACTGATGGACCCAGGCCAAGGAACAAAGGGAAGTTGAGCCAGTAAAGTATCCTCAAATAACTCTAAAAATAACTTTTACACTAGTGTAATAGAAACTGGGATCCTACTCAATCCAATTCATTGGATCAAATCACATTCAAATACCTACATGACGAACCTATTATTGCCAGGAAACAGAGAAATGTAAGACCAACAACCGGGAAATCCAGTTTTACATATAAACAAATGCTTCCACCAACATATTCGATGCGTATGCATATACCGAAGCAACACAGAATGACTTTGAAGTGTTGACAAATTGACAACAAAAAAAAAAAAAAAGCAAAGAAAACAAAACAAAAAAGCAGCAAGACATTGCTGCTTTGATCATGACACTAAACTAATAAACCCAGAAATATATTGCTTTATTAAATGCAACTGCTGACCATGAGAGAGTCGTTACAGAACTTAAAAATTCTGTTATGGATCTTCAAAAATGCTGGCAAAATTATATATAGTGAGAGCCACAGACTGGTTCTCAAATATCATAGGAAGACTGCGAGCAGGTCATACGTTTTTGGGTAAATTGAGCGCGTCATATATGCAGTAAGCCTAATGGATGAGAAAAGCTATCCGTGCAATGAGGCTACCAAGGCAAAGCAAAACACTACTGCTTTTAGAAATAATGGATGCAACTTCTGGCACCTCACAATAAGCAGCTGTTTAGAAAGTAACCAACTTGAGCAGTGGGTGTACAATCACAAAATATGATAATAGACCACAACCAAAAAGGAAAACAATAGGGAAAAAACAAAGCAAACAAGTGTCTGCATCTAAAACTGAGCACAAGTGATTGATTAAATCCTTCAAGTACCAACGAGTGCATAGCATGATGAAGTGAATAAAGATTCGGAGTTTTACATCACATGGTGTTACTATTTGTAAGCATTCTGGGAAAGAAAAACAAAACCCTGAAAATTATTAAAATTTTATAGTTTGAGCCTAGACAACACTTGTCTTATTCTTCCTTTGATGGCAACGAGCTCAACTGGTTGAATAACCAAATTAATCGCATTCCTTATGCATCATGAATTTCCAGTCATAATAAAAGCAGTTGGTGAATATTAGTAATGCTTTTCAGTGTGCTCATTTGTTTTTTTTTTCTTTTTTTTGGGGGAGGGAGATTTGAACCCTTGACCTTAACAAGGCAAAACCTTTACAAGACAAGAAGTACCATTAGACCAAAGACCCATTGATTGTGTGCTCATATTTGAACCCATTTTCTATCAGCTAATTATTATAACTGTAAAGAGGATTGCCTGATGAGATATAGGGGAGAATCAAGGGAACATAAGAAATTACTCAAGCAACAAAACTGTCTTTCATACATTTATTGCTTAAGAGATAAAAAGTTTTAATGCAAGAGTTTGATTTTTACNACAAAAAAAAAAAAAAAAGCAAAGAACACAAAACAAAAAAGCAGCAAGACATTGCTGCTTTGATCATGACACTAAACTAATAAACCCAGAAATATATTGCTTTATTAAATGCAACTGCTGACCATGAGAGAGTCGTTACAGAACTTAAAAATTCTGTTATGGATCTTCAAAAATGCTGGCAAAATTATATATAGTGAGAGCCACAGACTGGTTCTCAAATATCATAGGAAGACTGCGAGCAGGTCATACATTTTTGGGTAAATTGAGCGCGTCATATATGCAGTAAGCCTAATGGATGAGAAAAGCTATCCGTGCAATGAGGCTACCAAGGCAAAGCAAAACACTACTGCTTTTAGAAATAATGGATGCAACTTCTGGCACCTCACAATAAGCAGCTGTTTAGAAAGTAACCAACTTGAGCAGTGGGTGTACAATCACAAAATATGATAATAGACCACAACCAAAAAGGAAAACAATAGGGAAAAAACAAAGCAAACAAGTGTCTGCATCTAAAACTGAGCACAAGTGATTGATTAAATCCTTCAAGTACCAACGAGTGCATAGCATGATGAAGTGAATAAAGATTCGGAGTTTTACATCACATGGTGTTACTATTTGTAAGCATTCTGGGAAAGAAAAACAAAACCCTGAAAATTATTAAAATTTTATAGTTTGAGCCTAGACAACACTTGTCTTATTCTTCCTTTGATGGCAACGAGCTCAACTGGTTGAATAACCAAATTAATCGCATTCCTTATGCATCATGAATTTCCAGTCATAATAAAAGCAGTTGGTGAATATTAGTAATGCTTTTCAGTGTGCTCATTTGTTTTTTTTTTCTTTTTTTTGGGGGAGGGAGATTTGAACCCTTGACCTTAACAAGGCAAAACCTTTACAAGACAAGAAGTACCATTAGACCAAAGACCCATTGATTGTGTGCTCATATTTGAACCCATTTTCTATCAGCTAATTATTATAACTGTAAAGAGGATTGCCTGATGAGATATAGGGGAGAATCAAGGGAACATAAGAAATTACTCAAGCAACAAAACTGTCTTTCATACATTTATTGCTTAAGAGATAAAAAGTTTTAATGCAAGAGTTTGATTTTTACCGCCCTCCATGGGCTAAAGGAGATCATCACAGAGTTATCAGAATTCACTAAACCCCTAACGGCCTACAATCTAGGTACATCGATCCTAAATGGGATGGGTTTGTGATCTAGATCACAAAAATATACGATCCCAAATTATACACATAACACAAATATAAAATACATATTAATTAATTACATGTATATAAATTTATAATTATATATTATTTTAGGTAATAAAAATTGAGTACAAATGTAAAATAAATAATAACTGACTTAGTATTTATGAATGTTCTATAATATATATAATATTGTACAATAGTGATAACGATCTAGATAAGAGCTCCCAAACTAATTACGACCCAAAATATTGTACCAACTAAGCTTACCTCCATCGTACTATATACCTAAAAAAGTGTCATACTGTATAACCGTACCCATAGTTGTTAGTATCGTACGAAACACGATACGTATCGTACGATACGTTATGATACAGAGGTAAAACGATACGGATCGAAATTATGTATCGTTTTTGCGTCGTATCGTCTGATACACGATACAACCGATACGCACAAAATCTGTTTTTTTTTCTTGAAACGACGTCGTTTTGTCTAAATAAGACACTAATTTTTTTTTTTTTTTTGTATAAAAATTTATGAATCTTGATTGATTTTATGGATTGAGTTCAAAATGGATGTTATAAATTTCGATTAAAAGTCTTTTTAGTGTTTGAAATTTGAATTAATGAACTATGGTTTTAAACTTTGCATTATAATATTAGTGAACTATGTTGATGACTTGAATAGGTGGTGGAGTATTAATGAAATGCTATATTTTTATGAGTATATGATTTTTTTTTTAAGGTATATATATTTTGTTATTATTTATTTAAAATTCCACTGTATCTTACGATACACTATTTTTAAAAAATAATACGGCTTCCGATACACAATTTAATAACTATGCCCGTACCTATATCACGTACCAAAGCGATCCTTGATCCATATAACATTGGGTCATCATCAACAAGAGGAAATAATGAATACTATTAGTCAACACATTTTAACAAGAAGAAAAGATTCAACCTTTTGTCATCAAAGCCAGGATAATAGTGCAGTCTACAACAGTCAAATCATGGTTCAAGGAATCGGCCGAGTCCGATACGACTACGCAGTACGGGAAATGACGCATTAAGCAGATATCGTCGATATCTCGGTTCAACTCATTAGTATCGGCCAAAATCAGAGGAACTCGGTTTAACTCGGATGATTCCTTCCGGAATCGTTCTGAGATGAAAAAGCAAGTGAAAAATCCTCAAAATCTAAGACAAAGAACAAAAATCCACATCTGTAAAAGCCTAAAAATCAGTCACTCATTTTTTCAGGTTGAACAAAAATCCAAAAAAAAAAGGAGAATAGAAAATAAAGCAAAGAGAGGATGGGAAATAAAGTAAAGAATCAAAAGACCACTGCTACAATGATTATCAATATCCCCAATACTAATGATAGACGTTTTAAAATGCAATCCAAGGGGATTTCAGGGCAGCCATGGATGAGTTTATTAAAAAAAGTACAAGACTCTAGTGAAATTTATCACTCTGTTACAATGGGGGAAAAAGATTAAAAAAAGCTATCATAGACATTACAGACTTCCACTTTATTAGTCCCTTGACAGAAAAGTTACTATAAATTCTTTCTCTGAAGTTATGCCCGGTGACTTAGCAATATGCATTCCTCACATTTAAGCACAAACCAATTTCAAAATCAGTTGGGAAGCCCTAGGGATGGGTATTATTTGTTTGGCATTAATATTGCATGTACGAAGCAGTTTGTTATTGGCGGGTACTGAGCTGAAGAACATAAATAGAAGCAATTTTGCCCTGCTTTCCACTATAGCAGCACAGCTATTGGAAACATGACATTGAAGGTAGAGCAAGCAGGCTTGGTGGAGGATAGTGATAGTCTGAAATACCATAATAGCAATGACAACATTCCAACAAACAGTTTTGACATAACCAATGAGAACACATGAAAAACAGAGAAACAAGTTGAAAACCTAAAGAGACATAGCTCAAACTCCATGTATCGTCAGTGATGCTCATTCTATGCAATCAGAATAACAACAAACATGGCCATTGACTCAAATCTCTTCTCAAAATAAAATCTCAGAATTTCAAACTCCCAGTTTTAAAGCAAATAGAACCCTCAACTCCAAATGCACTACTGTTCAGATGAATAAGAAAGAAAACACAATAAAAACAACGAAGAGTTGGCCAAGACCCAATACAAGTCATAGCACAAAAACACTATACAACCAAATTACCATAAAAAAACTCCACTAATGGAGCCATCACCGGGTGTAGTATTATAAATGTCTGAGCAACAGCATTCTGGTTATGGATTCCAATACAAAGAGAATCAATTTGGATAAGTAATACCACAAACTTGGTAATGAAGCTTAAAGATTCTCGATCAATTTTCAATCACAGAATTCTCGATCAATTTCCAATCACAGAATAAAACTTTCTATCAATACCAAATTGCATAACCAAGAACTACATCAATCCCAACACAATACAATGCACTGATTATATATAAAAGACTTCCCAGATAACAGATTGCAATAAAGGTAAAGAAGCTCACATAGATATTGAGTTGCCTAATGAAGCTGGAAAAGTTGTTGTGCTTGAAGTACTTGGGAAGCAATTCGGTCGAAAACCCAGTATCATCCCAAATGATAAAGCTGTCATTAGTATTACTCCAAGAAATCAAAGCGTCCGTTGACTGATCATCCACCATCTCATAACACTTCAACAGAAAAGGCGGTATAGAAACCCCATTTTCACTCGATTTCACCATTACAAACCGACTGATAGAAACCCCAAGAAAACACCAAATTCAGCACAGAAAAGCGCAATATGTTCGAAGACTTAATGAATTTCTACGTGCTTGGATGAGAAAGAAAATATGAATGGAGTAAAAGTAACCAGGATCGGGAATAAAAGAAAGTGATGAGACCAGACTTGGGGGGTGGGGTTGAGGAGAGAAAAGACATGGAAGTCTCGTTTTGAACCGGAGCGCCGACTTAAAAAGTATGACTTAGAAAAATAGATTTGATAAATTTAATTATTTATTCGATGAATGTGATTATCAAATTTAATTTTTAAATTTATTTAACATCGATCACCTCGAATCGTATTTGGTTTCTGTATGAAAATATCTCACGGATTTTATTGTCTGCAGCTTAGAATTTTGTTTGGGCAACAACTGTTGTGCTTCTACAAATGCTAGTTTGCCACATGGCACCGCACATTATTTTTTGGGAAGAATTACATGCAAATCCTACGATATTTATCACTTAATTATTCATACCTTGACATTTAAAATTTTATATATAGACCTCTAAAATTTATATACATATAATACTTAAACCTCTGTTATCAATATCAATGAATATATTCTTTAATAAATTACACTCAAATCCCTCAAAGTTTATAAATAAATAATATTTATATCCCTCAAATTTAAACTGTTAGACAAAAAATATTCTAATTAAAGATAAAATGTCAAATATTTAAAATTTTATAACCAAATTTTATATTCCATTGTATCATTTATTAAAATAAAATTAAAATTAAAAATCTAATTTTTTCTTAAAAAATTGTGATTTAATATACAATTATACTATCTATTGGAATAAAAAAAAATCAAACAAATGGCCTAAGTCATTCATAATAGATCATAAATTTTACAACCAAATTTCATATTTTATTATGTCATTTACTGAAATAAAAATCTATTTTTTCTTAAAAAATATAATTAGTATATAATTATATTATCTATTGAAATAAAACTAAAAAATTAAACAAGAGGTCAAACTGTAATGGACACAATATCTTCTAATTTTAATTGGAATAATTTGGTAGTTTAATTTGATAGTTTAGACGACCAAACTAAGTTTTAATAAATAGTATAATTGTATACTAATCTTAAAAAATTAGATTTTTAATTTTGATTTTATTTCAATAAATGTCATAATATTTGGTTGTAAAATTTAAAATATTTGATATTCTATCTTTGATTGAAGTATTTTAGTCTTAATATAACATTTTAAACTTGAGAAATTTATGTATTATATGCATACAAATTTCAAGAGGTCTAGATGTAATTTACTAACGGGTATTGACAGTAAGGGTCTAAACTATTGCTAGTACCGAGATAAATATCGGGTCAGCCAACGTAAGCCAGCTTGAGACACCCAAAGTCATGGGGGTTACCCCACTCTAGAGGTGTTAATAACAACGAATCATGCATAAATAATGTTAATGTGCTCAAATGAGAAGATCAATAAGGGATGATTGAAGGGATTCTAGCACCCTTTACAAATACTCCGACAAAACGCAAGGTATGCCACCTAACATTACTAAAAGTGAAACCCGAAAGGAGATTCCAAAAGACTATATGCGCCGAGTAAGCTAAAATCAAAGGTACGCACTAAACCTTTTTATGCAAATAAGCTCTGATTAACGTCTCAAAATTTTTACCATCTTAAGTAGTAGAGTGCCTCTGAAAAGCCCACCCTGGTCTCTCGTAGCTTGTTCACTTTTGCAGGAACCGGTGCAGTCGAAGCTATGTGCGTGGATATGGGCAGTTGCCCCCAATGACTTTTGTGCGATTTCCACATATACACAGTTATGTTAAAAAAATTATGTGCAATTTATCTTATTGTCTCCCCGAATTGTTTGGAAAATTTTTATAGTGCCTCTAATCTTTTTATCCTCGATAAATTAGTAGTCACATAATCTAGAAAAAAATATATTTTATTATTAGATTGAGTAAAACATATGTGAAATTCATCAATTCATATATATCAATCAAAGTCAATACATCTGTTATTTACTACACTTCTTCATATTTTTTAAAAACTAATTGTATTGTTGTTCCTAATTCATTTTTCGCTAATTAGTGGCTCAAAACCCGGTAATACATGAACAAATATTACGAATGCTAACTCAAAAGCGTTTGTCTTTGCAAACACATCAATTTTTTTTAACAAGATTCAAAGAAATTGCCTTATCTCTAAGAATTTATCAATTATAGACAGTTTTTTAAAATTTGAAACAAGTGTTTCTCTTTAATAAATGGTTGAGTTAAACTGTGCTATAAGAATTTTACTACTTTTGTTTATTCATATTTTGTTAACGCTGACATGATTTTGGTTTTAATTTTTATATAGTAATTAAGTCTTAGATCTCAATATATTTCTCATAGTTGAAATTAGAAATTTTTTTGTGTGAAATTTACACCTAATTTATTCCTTATTAATGGAGGTGTGGGAAATTGGTTTTAATACGAATCGGTTATATTATTCATTTATGTTTTTTGCGCCCACTAAAATAGAATCCTGGCTCCGCCCCTGGGTGCAGTGCTTCTTGTTCTTCTGTTCCAAACTGTATCACTCAAGCAGTAGGGAGCATTTTACCCCCTACACCTCCGGTGAAAATTTGGTAAAAACTTTGGGGATAAATTTGTATTCGAATACCTTCCA